GAGTTGTGGGTTTGCTTTCCCAGACATGCGTTTTGATGCAAAACTAGAGACCAGGGCGTGTTCAGCTTGGACCTGAGCTCCCCAGTAAGTTCAGCTGTCTCTGATGAGCAAGCCTTATCTACCTGAAACCTGGAACTGTTCTGGAACTCCTGAAGGTTTATTAATTTACACTTAATTTCGGAGATGAATTCGAAGATGTTCCTGACTGACTGGCCTGCCTTGGCCCTCAATAAGTAGCATTTGAAATTAGTATAGAAAGCAAAGGAAAATATTCTCTCTTTATGTTCGCTGTACCCAACGAGTGATGTTGCCAAGTTGTACGATATAATTAGGTCAGGGCGCAAACGCCAGTTCTGAAGATGGGTCGCTGAACTGGAAATATAATTCTGATTTTTCTCCACAGATGCTGCCTGGCCTGTCGAATTTCTCCAGCTCTTTCTGTTTTTGTTACAAACTGGAGGATGTAGTGAGAGGGGATGAGGCATCCTGTGTTTTTTGCGTGTATGTGTGTGTGTGAACTTTGTGGATATGTGATGTATCCCAGACAAGTATGTCTGCAAGAAGCGCAGCCGGTGACACAAGCTTGAGCTCCAGGTTTTGGAACTTAAGCAGTAGCTAGAGTTGCTGTTATTCATCCGTGAGATAAAGAACAGTGGATAGCTTGTATAGGGTGGGTGATCACACCACAGATTAGAATCATATAGGCAGAGAGGGAATGGATGACTATTTTTAGCTCAAGTGTTTCTTAATTCAAAAGGACTCAATATTTTTTGTTGTAAAAGAATATTTGTTTCAAGGATGAGTGACCAAGATATGATAGAATTTTACGTTATGTCTGAAAGTAAGGTAGTTCTTTCTGAAGCGAGGGTGTTAAGATTGGAATAAGGGAAATCATAAAAGCATGAGGCACGAGTTGCTGAGATGAAATTGGGAACATGAATTTAAAGGCCTGAATGTACACAGGCAGTGGGCAGTCTTTAAAGAACTGTTACATGGTTACAACATTTAGACATTTCTTCAAAGTGCAAAAGCTCAAAGATGGGCAGTTAACTGTGGCTGACATAGGAAGTTGAGGATTGTATATGATTGAAAGAAAAGGTTTATCACGTGGCCAGAAATAGTAATAAATCTGAGGATCAGTAGTTTCTTTTAGAATACATAAAAAAAAAAGACCAAGAAACTGATACGGAAAGGAAAAATAGAATAAAATTGCAATCTAGCAAAAAAATCCACAAAAATGAACGTAAAAGCTTCTATGGGTATGAGAGAAGAAAACTAGCTAAGATTAATGTTGGCCCATTAAAAGCAGAGTCAGTGTAATTTATTATGGGGAGTAGATAAATGGCAAAGAAACTAAATGATTATATTGCTTATTTCCACTGAAAAAGGTACAAAAAATCGATCAGAGCTAGACATTCAAGTGACTAGGGAGAATGAGGAGTTCAAGAAATTAGTAAGAATGTTGTACAGTACAAATTGATGGGGCTTAAAGTTAATAAGTCTACATTGATAGTTTACATCCTAGAGGACTTATGGAGGTGGCCAACCAGAAATAGTTGATTATCTTTCTTCTTTATCTACTAGATGATTATTTTCCAGAATTCCATAGGGTGTGGAATGATTGCTGCAGATTACAAACTTGGAAATGCCATCCACTATTTAGGAAAGGAGCATAGGGGAAAAAAAAACAGGAAACTACAGAGCTGTCAGCTTTACTAGGAAAAATGCTAGAATCTATCATAAAGGCTGTCATAAATGGACACCTGGATTAAAGATGATCTGATTGGGCATAGTCAGCAAGGATCTGTGAATGTAAAATTGTGTTTGGCAAACTCCTTGGAGTTTTTTGAGGATGTTGCTAACAAAATTGATAAGGGGAGTCAGTGAATGTAGAGTATTTGCAATTTAAAAAGGCCCCCCACAGGAGGTTGTTTAATAAAATTAAAGCGCAAGAAGTAATATATTGGCATAGATTGATTAACAGACAGAAAACAGAATAGGAATAAATGGGTCATTCTTGAGTTGGTTGGCAGACTATGACTAGTCGGCTAATGCAAGGATCAGTTACTGGCCCCAGCTGTTCACTATATATATCAATTATTCGGACATGGGGACCAAAGGTGATACCTCCAAGTTTGTAGAAGACACAAGTTGAGCAGGAATGCGCATGTGAAGAAGATGTTTACAGGCAGATTTGGATGGGCTTAGTGATTGGGCAAGATTGGAGTGCATGGTGGCTCACTGGTTAGCACTGCTGCCTCACAGCGCCAGGGGCCCGAGTTCGATTCGACCCTCCGGCGACTGTCTGTGTGGAGTTTGCACATTCTCCCTGTGACTGTGTGTGTTTCCTCTGGGTGCTCCGGTTTCCTCCCACCGTCCAAAGATGTGCAGGCTAAGTGGATTGGCCAAGCTAAATTGCCCATAGTGTAGATTAGAGATAACAAGGTGTAGAGCTGGATGAACACAGCAGGCCAAGCAGCATCAGAGGAGCGGGAAGGCTGACGTTTCGGGCCTAGACCCTTCTGGTGGGTTATAGGGGATTGGGTCTGGGTGGGATGCTCTAAGGGTCAGTGTGGACTTGTTGGACCGAAGGGCCTGTTTCCACACTGTAGGGACTCTATTCTATAAAAAAAGACATGGAAGCTGGAGTATAGTATTGGGAAATGTGAGGTTATCCACTTTGGTAGGAAGAACAGACGTGCACAGTATTTTTTAAATGGAGAGAGTTTGGAAAGAACTTGGGTGTCCCTGTCAATAAGTCACTGAATGCTGACATGCAGCTGCAGCAAGCTGTTAGGAAGGCTAGTTGAATGTTAGCCTTTATGCAAGGATATGAGTACAGGAGTAATGAAGTTTTGCTTCAGCTATGCAATCAAGTTTCACCAGTTTTGTTCCTGGGATGGCAGGACTCTGCTATAAAGAGGGATTGGTCAAACCTTGGCCTGTATCCTCAAGAGTGTTGAAGAATGAGAGATGATTTCATTAAAGCCTACGATATATTTAAAGCGATAGGGCAGATGAGGGTAAGATGTTCCTCAGTGGAATCTCGATCCGTGGGCACAAATTAAAAATCGTGGCGCTGCCATTTATAATTGTGATGAGGAGGAATTTCTTTACTGTGAGGGTGATGAGTCTTTAGAATTTGAATTTGAATTGAATGTATTCTCGTGCACTCAAGTACAAAGTACAGGAATACAGTGAAATGTGTACAATGTTGCCACACAGGGCACAGTCTTAGGTACTAAAATAGATTAGGTACAAGAATAGAGAAGTAAACAGAAAAGCTAAAAGTTCTGCATTACACTTCTTCATAGTATAAATTAGGAAGATAAATAAAGTTAAAAGATAAATGTTAGAGTCCTTCTGTAGCCTGCAGTCTCTCCATGCTGTGGGTTTTCCACACATGGGAGCTGTAGAAACTTAGTCTTTGTATATGTTTAAAGTAGAGGGTCCTTGCTTATCAATGGTGTAGTTATGGGGATGGTGTGGGTAAAAGACACCAGTATTTGATTAGTCATGATTGTATTAAATGGCAGGGCAGGCTCGATGTGCTGAATGGATTACTTCTGTTCCTTTGTTTAGTAAAATGAGAATAGTATATTGTCACATAGGAATAGTTTGTATTCAGTCCGTCTTATCCTGTTCAACTTATATAGTGAACACCAAGAATTGCATATGTGCTTTTTTATTACCTGGTGAGTGTATATTTACACTGACTGAACGATTGCATATCTTTGTTCAATGTGAAAATTAGGTGATACTATTATTTATGCTGTTTGCCCTATAGTTTAACATAGTTTCTCATTTAGTCATTGCAATAACTGATAAAATATTGAATTGATAACACAATTCACTGAATGGATTAAGGAATGCACAACAAAATCGGCAAAAATGGGACCTACTGTAGTTTGACTTGATTGCAGTTTGCTTTCTTCTTGAGGTTGACTTGACTGAACTTTACTTTCTTCATGGTCAACAACTTTTTGTGTTGCTTTGATGGATTTATTTATTTGATCTAAGTTGTTGGTCCATTCTTTGATGATCTTTTGGAGTTTTCCTGAAGCAACCCTCCTTTCAATGTCAATGAGTTCCAGTGAAGCTTTCTCATCACTGTTCAGGATTTTTCTTATTGTTTCATATTGTTTGGAAATCTGTTCTTTGAGGTTCTCTGCTGAGTTCTGCACAATTACAAGGATGTGAGTTAGAAGCATCAAAACCAAAAACTGAGTCATTAATGAAATATAATAGAATCAGACATAGAAAGGTTCAGAGTGCAGTTACATGCAGTTAAAAATCTGAGACTACCAGAATTTTTGTTTGTTTTTGTTTTGCTTGCTTGCTTGTTTCATAAGTGTGCATAATATCTGAGCTCTTACTGTAAGAACAGTGTTCCTGTTCTTCAAGGACTGCATGTGCGCTTCTACTTCATCTCTTTTAGTGTAGAGATCATGAAGAAACTGCTTTGGTGTAACCTGCAAAATAAGTGTAAAGAAAAATGATGAAACTGGCGTTACCTTCTTTGTGCTTGAATGTTTTTAAACTGTGGTTAATTTTACATTAATTGACTTTAAATTAAAATGAAATTGTAGTAGAATCTATCAGATCCATCAAAGGTTCCAAGCCTCAAGTAAAATCAAAATACTGCAGACGCTGGAAATCCGAAATAAAAACAGAAAGTGCTGGAGAAACTCATCAGGTCTAGCAGCATCTTCGAAGACAGGAAAAGTCCCGTAGAACTCGAACATTTTGAGACTATTTATGTTAGTAGCTCAATTTATTAATTCAGTTTCAAGTTCAAATTTACATTAACTCTACTTCTCTCTTTCTATTTTCATGATGTCATGAATCTTTCCATTTCGTGCATATTCAAATTTAATGTTGGGTCCACCAGGCTGAGCCCATTATCATGTTGTCAATGCTGTATTTCACCTATATTTTCACAGTTGTGCAGGAATGCCCAATCTCTGATTTCTCCCCACAGATGCTGTCAAACCTGCTGACATTATCCAGCAATTTCTGTTTTTGTTTTTGTTTATGATTTTCAGTATTCACAGTCCTTTTGGGTTTTCTGTATTGATCGGTGTATTTTGGTTCATTGACATTCATGACTCACAGAAGAAATGTAACACGTAGATTTAAATTTTAATTTTTCTATGTATGTTCAAACCATTGGACCAGAATACTGAGCTTTATTATGTTGACAATAATTCTTGTTCATATATTCTACTTGCATTCAAAATCTAAATGCCAACCCCTTCTGAGACTGTGAATAAGTCTCTCACCCTGATACTCTTCCTGTCCTGACTGGATCTCTGTCTGTGCTCTCTTACCACTTCTTTGTGTGGTCTAATGTTCCAAAATACTTTCTGTGGAGTGTCAACCTGGGCTTCATAGTAGCTTCCTTGCCTCGGAAAACCAGCTCTGAGAATTCCATGTCCATTTCAGAAACTTGAGCACGTATTTGCTGACGCTTCAGTGTCGTCAATTAAGTAAGTAATTAAACTGAGTCCTCTTTTACCCACTCAGTTGGATGTTAAGATCTATGTGAATATAGATCTATATTTTTCTTTGAGTAGTGTCACTGGATCTTAACATCCAACTGCGGGGGTTAAAGAGGACTCGGTTTAATTACTTAGTTAATTTCCTGGTCACTGTTTATTTGATTATAGAGTCCTACAGCACAGAAACAGACCCTTCAGTCCAACCAGTCCATGCTGAACATAATCCCAAACTAAACTAGTCCCACTTGCCTGCTCCTGGACCATATCTCTCCAAATCTTTCCTATTCATGTCTTATCCAAATGTCTTTTAAACATTGTAATTGTACCTACACTCACCACTTCCTCAGCAAGTTCATTAACCAACATCACTCAATTCCACAGATTTTCCCTAATATTTCAGAAAAGTAGTTCAAATGCTTCATACCTCAAAATAGTGAGTAACTTGAAGATGAAGTTTTTAATCATTGTCATCAGGTGATTTGAAAATGCTGTAGTGTTTTTACCATTTGATCTGCTATTCACCCTGCTGCTATACAAGTTCAGACTATATTTACCTGTTCAGTAGAATTTGTGATTTGCAGTGTCGTCATTAAAGAGCTTTCTTGGTATGTTACAAGTTGCTTTTCATTGAATGATTTCTTGAACTACAGTTATTATTGTTATATCAATAAACATGGCCTTCGATTTAAGTGAAACAAGTAAAGTAGATGAATGATTAGATCATTTATTTTCAGTGGTATTGTTTAATAGGATAGCAAGATATATAGATAATTCCTGTTCAAACAATGCCTTGGGTTTTCATGTACTCCTGAAAAAATTTATTGTCTCATCGGAAAATCACTATTTCCAATAATGCCACAGTTCCTCGGTCTGTATGGATTAAGTGCTGAAATCTAAGAATCCAGGTCTTGAGCTTGCTCTCTTTGAATTCTGAAATGAGAGTATTAAGAGCTATTTAGGTGATGCTGACCTGTGGTTAGTCAGGAGAAAATATAAATTGTGCAAGTATCTAATGATGTATGTTTAACTGACTTTTAAGAAGACTGTTCATTTTCTAGCTTTGCCTTTATTTATAATTTGGTTTCAAAGCTACAGTGGAACTAATGGCACACATCATTAGGTTGGCATCTTCAAAAGAGGGGCAGATTCATGGCTAAAAGCAAGCATCCAAAGGTTGTTGTCCGGGTTGTGTGGCTCTGACATAGCTTGATGAAAATGATGAATTAAACTTTCCACAGTTATATTTTGTTGTGTAAAGCACATATATGCTTTTAATGCCATGATAACTATTAATTATTGCTAATTAACCTCTTCGGCTTTAGCCATAAAAAGCCCAGCGTTCAAATATTTCAGAATCTCTTTATTTACTTTTCTATCTCCCCACCCACTTCATCTCTCTCCCTGGAACTGATCTATGTTGAATGAATCCACTCCAGTTTAAACCTTCTCCTCAGACTTGTGCTGATTATTTTCCAACCCTCTCAGTGTGCTTGGTTAAGGAAATGAACAGTCACTCAACTTGTTCACACAGGCAGTTGTCTGGTTTTCCTTCACTACTGTTAGGTAAGATGGTTCTTCCAGCAACTTGCCATGAAAACAACATGTAAAAAGCTAACTATGCAAGGGCAAGTTTCACTAACAACGGGTAATGTTAAGTTTTTCACTCCCGCAGTTTTGGCTTACTCTTATTCTGGGGAATGACTATGAGATTATTGGAGGCAATGTCTTCATCCCAACTTCATCTAGATCTTTCCTACATCATTAGGTTAGAATTTGGGCTGTTCACTGCTCATTTCACTCGCCAGTGCTTGGATTATGAAGTAGTCTGTGCTTTCATGCAGCAAGATGCAGCAAGATGTGGATGACATTCAGGTTTGGCTGATAACTGATAAATAATTTTGCAACAGTCAGATACCAGATAATAACCATCTTTGACGAGAGAGTCCACATAATTTCCCTGTGACATTGAATTATGCTACTATGGTCGATACCCTGAGGTCAACAATTTTCAGAGTCGGGAGTCATAATGGTCAGAACTAAATTAGCCTGTCCATATAAATGATATAGCCACTACAGGAAGGATGTTATTAAATTGGAGCAAGTTCAGAAAAAAATTACCAGGATGTTGCCAGGAGTGTATGGTTTGAGTTATAAGGAGAGGCTGGATATACTGGGACTTTTTTCACTGTAGGATGTTGATGGGTGACCTTAGAGTTCTATAAAATCAATAGGGGCATAGATAAGGGGAGTATCAAAGGTCTTTTCCCATGGTGGGGGAGTTCAAAACTAGGGGGCATATTTTTAAGATGAGAGGAGAAAGATTTAAAAGAGACCCTGAGGTGGTTCGTATGTGGAATGACTTGCCAGAGGAAATGCTACATGCGGGTACAGTTACAATATTTAAAAGACATTTAGATAGGTACATGAATAGGAAGGATTTGGAAGGAAATGGGCCAAATGCTAGAAAATAGGACTAAATCAGTTTAGGATGGACGAGTTGAACCGAAGGGTCTGTTTGCGTGCTGTATGACTCTAACTGTATAATAAATCAAACAGACTGAGTATTTTACAGTTGATGATTCATCCTCCTCTTCTGCTTTTTGTGGAAAGTGCATAGCTGGACAATTTTCCATATTGCTGCATAATGCCAGCACTGGAGCTACGCTAGAACAACTTGACTGGGGCACGGCTACTTCTAAAGCACAAGTCTTCAGTACTATTGCTGAATATTGTTGTGACCCAAAGCCTTTGCAATATCCAGTGCTGTTTCTTGACATCATGTAGAGTGAATCAAATTGACTGGGGACCTTGGGAGGAGGCAAAAATAGATCATTGATTTGACACTTCTGGTAGGAGATAGTTGCAAATTGTTCAGTCTTGCCTTTTACATTGGTGTACTGATCCCTTACCATTGAGGATGTGGATATTTGTAAAGTGAATTTTCTAATTGTCCACCACTATTCACATCTGAATGTGGAGGACTGCAGAGCTTTGATCTGATCTGTTTGTTGTGGAATTGCATAGCCCTGACTATCACTTGATGCTTCTGCTGTTTGGCATGCAAGTATTCCTGTTTTGATGTTTCACCAGGTTGACAATTCATTTTCAGGTATGCCTAGTGCTACTTCTGGCATGTCCTCTTCTTTGTTGGACCAGGCTTAATCCCCTAGCTTGATGGTAATAATAGAATGGGGGATATGTCAGGCCATGAGGTTGCAGATGATGTTGGAGGACAGTTCTGCTGTTGATGGCCCACAGTGCCTCATCGATGCCCAATTTTAAGTTGCTAGATCAGTTTGAAGATGTTTAGCACAGTGATAGGGTATGCTAAATGTGAAGACAGGACTTTGTCTCCACAAAGACTGTGCTGTAGTCACTTCTACCAATATTGTGATGGACAGATATATCTGCACCAGGCAGATTGGTGAGGCAATATTGTAATTTCTCTCCTGTTAGTTCCATCATCTGCCACAGACTCAGTCTAGCAATGATGTCCTTCAGGATTTGGCCAACCCAGTCAGTGGTGGTGCTGCTGATCCATTCTTTCTGGTAGATATTAAAGGCCCCCACCCAGAGTACATTCTGTGCTCTTGGCACCCTCTGTGCTTTTTCAAATTGGTGTTTAACGAGGAGAAGCACTGATTCATCAGCTGGAGGTGGAGTATAGGTAGTAATCAATCTGAGATTTCCTTGCTCATATTCAACCTGATGCTGTGAGACTTAATAAAATCTAAAATCAATGTTGAGAACTCGCAGGACAACTCTTTATCAACTGTGTACTGATGTGCTGCCACCTTTGGTATGTCCATCCAATGTCAGTGTTAAGCCATATCCAGGGATCATGATGGGACGTTGGCTGAGGGGAATGATTCTGACAGTATGACTATGCTGGGGCTGTTAATTGACTAGTCTGTATGACAACTCTCCCAATTTTGGCACAAGCCTCCAGATGTTAGTAAGGAGGACTTTGCAGAGTTGATGGGGTTGTGTAAAGTTGTCATTTCTGGTGCTTAGTTGATACTAGATAATCCATTTGGTTTTGTTTCTTTTTGATCTTGTAGCAGTTTTATTAATTGGAGATGCTTGCAAGGTCAGGGCACTCGAGTCAACCATTTTGCTGTAGAACTGGAGTCATGTACACACCAGACCAGCTAAAGGTGGTAAAATAACTTCCTAAAGAACGAGTTAACTAGATGGCCAGTTAATAATAGTTCCCTGGTCATTGTTACTGAGACAAGTGTGACGATATTATGACTTTAAGAGGTGTACTTTGTCCTGATTTCTCTTATGAAGAAAGTTTGAGACAGAGATGCTGATGAACAGTCTGCATAAAGCAATAAAGTAAACAGCTTGTGAGGCCTTTTTTTTAAAAAGTTGGAACAATAGAAACAACCTGAATGGGTGGGCCAAGCTTCCACAGAACCAGGATTTTTAGTTTTAGCTTTCTACAGTTGCTGGGATTTTGATGCTGGATGTGGAAGCTCTTATTTCTCTCTCTGTTACAGCTAAAAGCTAAGGTTCTCTTCCTGCTGCTAGAATTGTATGTGAGACAATCTATTTTACTGAATTTGTCTTTGCCAAGGGTGTGTTTATGGGATGTTACTATATCGGAACAGTTAATTAGTAGTTCGTATATCTATTATTTTGTTAAGCATTTCGATAGAGTTACAGTTAAGCCAATTCTTTATTTTTATTTTGTATTTTAACTGTGGTGTAAAAATAGTGTGTTTTGCTTAACCTTGAGTAGTTTGACCAATTGAATTGCAACTGGAACGCAACACCTTTACACTTACCTTTAAAATAGTCTAAACCCTAACGTTTTCTTATGTTCTAAATATATTTTGAGGGGGTTTGGCCTAGTCCATAACACGAGTTTTTAATTCCAGATTTATTAATTGAATTTAATTTCTACCAGTTGCTTTGGGGGAGATTTGAACCATGTCCTAAAATGAGCCACTGGATTACTAGTCCACTGGTTTTACTATTACTTCAACCCTGCCTTATCCTCTGTTGGAGCTGTAACAATACTTGGGAAGTCTTGACACTGGTCAGGACAAAGTAGTCTTGTTGACTGATGTATTCTGTTCATCTGTTTAAACATCAGTTCACTGTGTTGCTAATGTACAATGGCCACAATGAGAACTGTTGTCTGAATGCTTTGCAACATGTCCTCAAGGTTTTTCACTGCTAGTTTTCATATCTGGGACCTAAAATGATCGGGGCAACAGCATGTGCATACAACAATTTGTCAAGGGCAACTAAAGATAAACATCAAAATCCAAACCTTTACAGCAACACCTATGTTGCCAGAATTTAAAAAAAACCTACGATTTTGGTATCGATATCATCATTTGAAATTAGGTTTTATTTCTGCAGAATGTTAATGGTAACGCATGGAATTCATTAGTTTATGTTTTCTTTCCTGTACCTTTGCAAGTATTACATGTGCAAACTTGTCATGCTGCATACTTGACAGTACTGTTCTGATTAGCATTTATCTGAGTCTGGACATGCTTTTGGAAGAGGTGTAAAACTTAGAAAACGGCTTATTGATGTCCTGTGATATTGTACAAGGGAAAGTCAGCCAGATGTAGCATTGTTGTGAAGCGAAGTTATAGTGATCAGCACGTATGTTGTAATTCAATCCTCAATTTAAAATTGCAGTTCTGCTCAAAACAACACTACAAATATATTACTGCAGTGCTTTAAAGAAGCAGTATCATTTGTTGGGGTAACTATGTGTAGAAATGTTTCATCACACTGATCCCAATAGAGTTGATTACTGAGTTGTCTCAAGTGCTCTCTGCTCAAAGTGCAGGGTTTAAAACCACTATCTTGCACAGTATGTTAGGTAGTTGGTACAATTCTACCTACATACTTGTAAGTCAACACCTTAAAGCAAGGTTCTTGCCTAAAGCAAATGTATGGTTATTTTATAACCATGCAAATTAAGGAAAACATGAAATCCTACCTTTATAAAACACAGTGTTTATACCTAGGTTTCAAGTGTAACTCTGCTTTTGTATTTGAAAACAGCATGATGTGTTTATCAGATATTTTTTTCCTGCAATAATTTAAAAGGGCAGTTGCTCCCTTTTGAATTTCTAGCCTTTGGTTGACCATGTGACACAGTAAAATAAGCCTTATTAACATTATCAACACATCACTTTCACATTGCGACATGATAAAAGTTATGCATTTCAAAAATCTTTCCAAAATAAATCTTTTTAATGGTGCTAAATGCCACTTTAAAATTAAGTTTACTTGCATGGTTTTGCATCGCCTAAAGGAAAGGATAGCAAGAATGGGCATTATTAACAAACTAAAATTGAGACGCTTTTAGCTTCTTTGCTGCCACGAAAAGAGATTTTTTGAAGGAAACAGTACCTGTAGTAACAGCTGATCTTCACTCCTTTCAGCTGCAATCTGGGTTAGTGTTGAGGTTGTAGACTCTTGAAGTTTTTTGTCACCTGAATCTTGGTGCCTTATTAGTTCTGAATTGACTAGAGACATACTCTTTTCCTTTGGTGTCTTTGCACATGTGTTAGCATCCAGTACTGTAGTAACATTTGAACAAGTAGCATGTTGCTGTCGCCCAGGGTTAGAAGGAAATGGCTGTGTGCTTTCTGCCATTGGTGTCAGACTGAATGCAAGGGAATCAAGAATAACCTGCAGAGTTTGAACAAAAGGTAAACAGCTAGCTGCTGTCGGAATCATTCATGATAGAGGTGTGTAAGAATAAGTCAGAACAAAAACTCTTTCTTTTTAATGTTATCTTTCTTCAGGAGCTGTTTCTTTAATTTATCATTAGATGTTTGCAGAATAAATTTGACCAGAATTTGTATTAATTAACTTTGTACATGTGTGTTTCACCTCCCTTTACCCCTTCAAAAAAGTGGACTAATCCAGCTTGAATCCTTATGGTGATTAGCAACAAGTTTGTTGGAACAGAATTGTATGCTGTTGAAAATATATTCAAGCATAAATACCGCAATGTCAGCAAATGATGGGACAAGTTATGTTTAACTATCACAGGTTAATCAACAACATTTCCTGTATATTTTCACTGTAATTATTTAGCTTTTCATAGGATTATGCAGTTGAGAGACTGTTAATCTGGTTCTGAAATGATCACATGCTTGTGGAAAATTATTGACAAAATGAACATTTTAAAATGTTAAAACAAATTTGAGATGGTAGCATTGAACAGATTATTGCCATATGAACAAAAGTCATTTGATTTTACTTTGATAGGAGCTGGATAAAATTGCATTTTTCCAGACGATCAACTTCTCCTTATTTCTTTGCCAAGTTAAAAGCTTAAACAAAAACAAAGTTACTGGAAAAGCTCAGCAGGTCTGGCAGCATCTGTGAAGGAATAAACAGAGTTAACGTTTCAGGTCCGGTGACCCTTCCTCAGAGCTCAAGTTCTATTTGCAGCACTAACCAGTTGCTGTTCTTTTGTTACTAGCAGTTAATCAAGCCAATCCAAAGACGAAAATCCCAAATACAAACTGGAGAAGTCTTTGAATTTAGACTAATTGTTGGGGAGCATCTTTGGAAGAAGTAAAGTTGGCTAATTTTCTTTTCTGATGCTTAATTAATAAGGCAGTTGTGTTGTAAAGTTAAATTAAATCATGGAAATTTATAGCACAGAAGGGAGGCCATTCAACCATTTTACTGATCATAGCAATGAAAGAATTGTTTACTTTGTCTCTTTCCCTTGCTGTTTTCTCATACTTAATTATTTCCTTTCAAACATTTAATTCGTTTCCCTGTTAAACGATGTCACACTTTTGAGGCAATGGAACATTCCATCTTCTAATCACATTGTGTATAAAATAAAATCTCCTAACTTGTACCTTAACTATTTTGGTGATTGCTTAATATGAAGCTTCCTATTTGTTACATTGCCCAACACTAGAGGTAGTTCAATAAATTATACTTTATCAAGGCTTCTCATAACTGTTAGTGTTTTGAAACAATGTTTATTTAACCTTCTTTGCTTTAGGAATAGGAGTGCCATTTTTTCTCATTCCGCCTTTATAGGTTAACATATCACATCCTTGGTATCATATTGAATCTCTTCTGTGTTCAATTCTGACCTTGAAATCCTGCTAAATTATGGCATTTAAAAACTGAACACCTCTTTCTAACATACTTAACCAATGATTTGTACGTGTTTAACAATACCTCTTTGCTTGTCGCACTCTATCTTATTTTTCACATGAATGCCACTTTTTACATTCCTTTCATTCAAATATGTCTATTGGCCACTCCAGTGTTTTCTTCTTTGACTGATTCACTGCTGCCGTACTGCTTGTAATACTGTGTGTGTTACTTTTAACAATTACTTCTCTGTGGGAATCAAAACTTTCTTGAAAACCTATATGAGTAACATCCACTTTCTTTCGTTGATCAATATATTCCATTAATTCTGCAAGTCCGTGCTGCCAGTCCTTAAATAAGCTCTTTTGTCTGTGCAATTTAATTTGCAAATTTTAGTTTGATCTCTTTTCCGCCTTAAACTTCTCTCAGTCAGACTGACTAATCTGTAGTTATTTGGTTTATTCCTTTATCCCCTTGTAAACAAAGTTGTCATATTGGCATCCCTCCAAGCTTCCAACAAACTTGAATATTAATGATCTTTGAAAGATTGTGACCCCAACTTATAACTTTGACCTCTGCTGGCATTCTAGGAGGCATGTCATCAGGGCGTGTTGTTTTTCCATTGTGTTTCACCTTTTGTTTTAATACTGCTGTACTCAAACAGCCTGTAGTAGTCTGTGATTATTTTTTCCAGCTACGCCATCTCTTACTGATGTCATTTTTAAAATCATTTTATTTTGTATATGCTTATAAAACCTTTACCATTTTGCTTTATTTTACCCACCAAACTTCTCTAATCCCTTCTATTAGCCTGGTTAATTTCCTTTCTATCAGTTAAAGAGGTAGAAAAGTCACTTGATAAATATTTAACAAACCAATTGCATGAAAAAGTACTCCTGCCCTTTGGGAAAGCTCCAGATAGGCATTGCTGTTCTGTTGATGGCAGGCTATGGTTGAATAGGCAGGTTTGATGATGGCTGGATATTCTGAAGTTTGATTCGTGAGCCTCAGGGTTTATGAATTTTTACACCAATCTAAGGCATTGTGGGTATTTTCAAAAATCCACCCCATCTTTGCAGCATAGTATGAAGCCACAGACACAAAGCTGCAGTGTGGCATCAAAGAATAATAACACACTGAAGGAGGACATTTGGTCAGAGGGTAGCATTTGCATTCATAAGCCACCACATCCTGACTCAGAGGATTAAAAGCTTGACTAAATGCCCTGCAATTTCCACCTTTACTTTTCTCAGCAACAGATGATACATTTCAAAGGTCATTGGATCCAGTATCTCTACCTATTTTCACCTTATCCATTTCCTTTACTGTTTCCTGTTCCTTCACTGTGACATTTACAAAGTCATTTTTCATTAGTGAAAACAGATGTAAAATGTACCGTCAATTTCTCAGCCATGTCTCTGCCTACTCTTCTATTATTTATAAAATACTTCTGGATTCCGTTTTATGCCGCCCACCAATCTATTTGCATATGTTCATATTCCCCTCAATTTCTTTGTCTGCTGTCCGTGTACTTTTGGTACTCAGCTTGGTTCACTAATGAATAAGTCATCTGAAATTTATTATTATCATTTCTGAGGAAATGGGTTCAATGCCAGCTGATGGAATTTAAACAGAGAAATAATTGTTAAAATCTGATATTGAAAGCTAGTCGCAGTAAAAGTGATTTTTGGAGCTATCATCAGTTGTTGTAAAAACCCATTTGGTTTAGCAGAGGAAAGCTGCCATCCTTACCTAGTCTGGCCTACATAGTAAAGTCGTTGTCTCTCAACTGCCCTCTGAAATGGCAGGCGCTCTGTTTACATGCATTGGACAAATGGAGGCCTCTGATTAACATTTCATCACTGGATTATTTATTCAATTCCTAACAAATAGATAGTTACAGGCAATGAAGCAAAATGTGACAAATAGTAAGCTCTGTGTATTGACGTATCGTTTTCTCAGTTTGATGCATGCAGAAATCACCCTTCGTTCTTTATGTTCATTCTTAACTGTTCATAATCTAGCTTTCACATCCCGTAGTCCCATGCACAACTAGTAAGAATGCTTGTAATAATAAATATATTTTGTTTTCACTTTAGATATTCCCAGTTTTATTCAGAGGAGGAGTTTTGCCACTACAACATGTTTAATCATTATTTCTTTGGGGGAAAGGTAAGTACCAATACTTGGTACAATACTAATGTAGTTCCTTTGCTCTAGATAGGAACAAGGCAGAAAGCAGGCCAATTAGCTTAACATCTGTTGTATGGAAAATGCTAGAAGCTTTTATTAAGCAGAGCACTTAAAATCTTCATGCAGTCATTCTGACTCAATAATGGTTTTGTGGAAGGATAATTATGTTTGACTAACGTGTTAGAGTTCTTTGAGGGTAATAGGCTTTTCCTTTAGGATTGTTGTTCTGTGGAATTTTCTTCGGAGATAGGGTTGCTGATTATTTTCAAGACTGAGTGAGATTCTTGATTGACAAGGGAGTCAAGGAGTATAAGAACTAGATGTGAAGCAGAATTGAAACCACAATCAGATCAGCCATAATCTTATCAAATGACAGAGCAGGCTTTAGGGACTGAGTCGACCAGTTTTTCCTCATTTGTTGAGTGACACCTCATATTCCGCCTCGAGAGCCTACAGCCCAATGGCCTGAACGTAGAGTTCAGAGAGAGTAAGAACTGCCGATGCTGGAGTCAGAGATAACACCGTGTGGAGCTGGAGGAACACAGCAGGCCACGCAGCATCAGAGGAACAGGAAGAAGGTTCCCGACCCGAAACATCAGTTTTCCTGCTCCTCTGATGCTGCCTGGTCAGCTGAACATAGAATTCACCAGTTTCAAAATCTCCCACCCCCAGCCTTATCCCTTGTCCTACCCTCCCTCTCGTCCCTGCCTCCTTGACCTGATACAACCTGTCCATCATCTCGCCCACCTATTCGCCTCACCCTTCCCAGCAACCAATCCCCACTACCCCCTACCTGCATCCACCTATCGCCATCCCACCTACCTTCCCCTAACCCCACCCCCTCCTCTCTCTATTTATTGCCCAGCTCCCTTCCCCCGCCCAGTCCTGATGAAATGTCCTGACCCAAAACATTGACTTTCTTGTGCCTCTGATGTTGCCTGACCTGCTGTGTTCCTCCAGCTCCACACTGTTTTGACTCTGACTTCAGCATCTGCAGTTCCTGCTATCTCCGTAATGCAAGAGAAATCATATTTAAACCAGTACCCCGCTGCCCACTTCACAGAATCACAGAATTGTTAGAGTGCAGAGGAGGCCATTCAGTTCACCAATTCTGCACTGGCACCCTGAAAGAAAAATTCACCTTATTCCGCTGTCTCGGATTCCTGCAACCCTGCACCTTGTTCCTTTTCAGATTGTAATCTAATTCCCCTTTGAATGTTTCAATTGGTCTTGCCTCCACCACACTCTCATTCAATGCATTCAAAACCGTAACCATTCTCTGTGTTAAAAGAATATTTCAGCTGTTACTTTTGCTTCCACTGATAATTTAAATCTGTGCCCTCTCATTCTGAATCCCTTCAAGAGTAGGAACAGTTTCTTCGGATTCATTTTGTCCAGACACCTCGTGAATTTGAATGCCTTTATCAGAATCCCCTCTCAGGCTTGTTTTCCCCTAGGAAAGCAGTCCTAACTTCCCCAGAGGTCGTCATCTCTGGAATCATTCCTATACATCTCTGTACTCTCTCCTGTGTCATCAGATCCTTCTTGTAATGCAGCACCAAGACCTCCAACTGACGCCGAACCAGTGTTTCTATAAGTACAGAATAACCTCTTTATTTTTCTACGCTATGTCCCTATAAGTAAAGCTTCGGATACTCTATACTTTATTAACTGCTCCCTCAACCTGTCTTGCCTCCTTCAATAATGGATACACCAAGGTGTCTCTGCTGCTGTACCGTCTTTAGAGTTGTACGCTTTTTTAATCGTGTCTCCTGCATGTTCTTTCAGCAAAATCAATCACTTCACATTTCTCTGCATTTAACTTCTTCTTTCTCTTTCGTGGGATGAAGGTATTGCTGGCAGACAGTGTTTGTTGCCCCTCTGTTGTTGCCCTGTAGAAGGTGGTGGTCAGCTGCCTTCTTGAATCAGTGCAGTTCTTGGGGCGTCAAGAACAGTGTTCCATTATTTTGACCTAGTTACAGTGAAGGAACAGTGATATATTGCCGAGTCAGGATGATATGAGTCTTGACAGCGTGGTGTTCCCATGTGTGCGCTGCCATTGCCATTCTAGTGGGTAGAGTCATGGGTTTGGAAGGTGCTGTTGAAGGAGCCTTAGGAGTTACTGCATAATGCAGATGGTGCATACTGCTGTTAGTGCTGAAGGGAATGAATGTTAAGATGTGAGTCAGTTGTCAATCAAGTTGTCAAGCTTCCTGATGTTGTTGGAGCTACTGGTCCAGACAAGTGGGGAGTATTCCATCACACTCCTGACTTGTTCCTTGCAGATAGTGAACAGGGTTTGGCCAGTAAGGAGTTGAGTTACGTGCTGCACGATTCCTAGCCTCAGACCTGCTATTGAAGCAATAGTTTTTAAATGGTTAGTCCAGTTCAGTTTCAGGTCAATGATAATAGGGGATTAAGCAATGGTAATGCCATTGAATCTCAAGGGGAGTTGATTCATTTCTCTCTTGTTGGAAATGGTCATTGCCTTGATACTTTGGGGTTACTTTACTTTGCCACATATCCGCCCATTCCACCAACTCATTTCTGTGCTTTTTGAAGTCTGTTGTTCACAATGCTTTCTGGTTTTGGATTATCCACAGACTTTGAAATTGAGTCTAGGTCTTTGTTCTGTGTCAGGAAAAGCAAGATTCCAACACTGAGCCTTGGGGAACTCAACTGCACACCTTCCTTCAGGCTGAAAAATAATTCTCACTCATTGCTTTCTATATTCTGTCACTCCACCAGTTCCATATGCATATTGCCATAGTCCCTTTTATGCCTAAACTTTAACACAAATCTAACCTACGGCACTGAATCAAATATCTTTTGGAAGTCCACATACACCACGGTAATGTATATTGTCCTCGCCATCTCTGCTAACTCTTCGAAAGGTACCAGTATTCTTTCCTTAATAAATTCAAACTGGTTTTCTTTAATTAAACCACATTTGCTCAAGTGACTACTAATGTCCTGAATTATTCTAGAAGTCTCCCCACCTCAGAGGTTAAACTGACTGGCATATAGTTTCTTGTCTTTGTTTAAATCTATTATACAAGATTACAATGTTTGCAATTATCCAGTCCTCTGGCATTGCCTGGATCTAAAGAAAAATAAAAATTTATGATTTCCATTCTCACATCCCTCAGTATCTTTGGATGCACCTCTATCTGGTTCTGTAGCCTTATATCACAACGCATCTAATACCATCTGTATTTCGATTTTAAATCCTTCTAGCTACTGAATTACCTGTTCTTTCCCCATAGTCTACAGCATCACCGTACTTGGTAAAGACAACTACAATGTATTCCCTCAATAACCTTGGTATGCCCATTGCCACTATATGTAATTCTCCAGTTTGTTCCTTAATTAACCATGCTTCACTTTTCCCCATCTTTGTACTATTGAATCCCCTTGTCTGTCAGCCATCCTAATAAAAGGGAGCAATTGTGAAGTGTTTGCCATCAAGTACTAGGTGTCCGAGATCTGATTCAAAGCTGCCACATCCCAGGAATATTGACAATGAAGCTAACCAGCAACTTACCCAAGCGACAGTCAAGAATTAAAGAATATGTTTGTGTCAGTGGTTCTCCTGTGGGCTCCAGTGCACAAGTTGTTCAAACCACCTATTCTCTATAGCAGAGACAACAAGGTGCAGGGCTGGATGAACACAGCAGGCCAAGCAGCATCATAGAAAGGCTGACGTTTCGGGCCTAGACCCTTCATCAGAAAAGGGGGAGGGGAAGGGGGTTCTGAAATAAATAGGGAGAGAGTGGGAGGCGGATAGAAGATGGATAGAGGAGAGGATAAGTGGAGAGGAAACAAACAGGTCAAAGAGGCGGGGATGGGGCCAGTAAAGGTGAGTGTAGGGAGGGGATAGGTCAGTCCAGGGAGGACGGACAGGTCAACGGGACGGGATGAGGTTAGTCGGTAGGAGATGGGGGTGCGGCTTGAGGTGGGAGGAGGGGATAGGTGGGAGGAAGAACAGGTTAGGGAGGCGGGGACAACCTAGACTGGTTTTGGGATGCAGTAGTGGGAGGGGAGATTTTGAAGCTTGTGAAATCCACATTGATACCATTGGGCTGCAGGGTTCCCAAGCGGAATATGAGTTGCTGTTCCTCTATCCATCTTCTATCCACCTCCCACACTCTCCCTATTTATTTCAGAACCCCCTTCCCCTCCCCCATTTCTGATGAAGGGTCTAGGCCCGAAACGTCAGCCTTTCTGCTCCTATGATGCTGCTTGGCCTGCTGTGTTCATCCAGCCCTGCACCTTGTTGTCTTGGATTCTCCAGCATCTGCAGTTCCTACTATCTCCTATTCTCTATAGCACTTCTCTATAGTTGTTTCTTCAATCCTTGAATATGTTGTTTGAATCAAAGCCTTTTTCAGCTAGTAGTTTGTTTCAAATACATTGCCTGCAAATGCTTAATTTTTTTTGTGTGATGTTCTTCCACCTACATTCTATAGTTACTTCTCATCTTAGAATGATATCCCTTACTTCATGAAGCCTTGTCATGTGATACTACATTTTGATTTTGTTCTCTCTGTCACTCTTTAACAATCCCTTCATTTTCTCTTGCCCTCACTGTCTTCTTTCCTTTCTTGTACTTCGGTAAAAGTGATAATTATCTGTTCATGCACATACATAATTTATTTAAGTTTGTTTTATGCTTTGAGCGCTATTCATCCTTTTATCTAGTTTATCTTGACCGTTTAGCTTCATTTTACACCTTATTGTTTGCTGGGTAAACCAGACAAATTGTTGATTAATGGTGCTCGATGTTGCTCAAGTTCCATGCTATCTATTTAGGTCCTGATTTAATTAGAAACAAAATTAAACAATACATAAGGAAGCAAGTATTGATTTTTTTTTGTGTGTACCTCTACCACTTCTATACTGGCAGTAAGTGGCCACTTTTCTCCGTTTATTTGATGATGTTATAGCTGAATACACAAATTATCTGTATTCTGTGTGGCATCGAATTTAAAAGTTTGTCTTACCATGTTCCCTTTGTCGCTATCTGATTTTCGGAGATTTAGATCTCCTTTCTGTTGGTCTTGAGATGAGTCAATTATAAAACCGTTCTGTTCAAAATCATCAACCACAAAGCAGACAATGCAAAGGCTGTAGCTTTGTTATCCCTGTATACTTGCATGATTTCTATTCTGTTGTTCCTGTTTTGCTCCTCCTCCAATTCCCCAGATCAAAGGGAATATTGAATGTAAGTAGGTTGGGTTAAGCAGTGAAGAGGTTTATAAGTGAAAGATTTCCTTTTCAGTATAGTTAAAACTGAATCCATATGGTAAGCAGCATCAAGATGGATATTTTGAAATTATACAAGGAAATTTAAAGTTGATTCATAAACTATAGAACAAGGCCATTCAGCCCATCGTGTCTGCCTTCTACTGAACAAACTAGCCATCCATTCTAAACCCACTTTCCAGCACCTGGACCATAGCCTTGCAGTACTTCAGGTGCAGATAAGTGGAGGGTTTCCACCTTAACCATTGAACGGGACAGTGAATTCCAGACACTCAGCTCCCTCTGGTGTAGCATTTGTTGTCTTTACTATTGCAGTCCATTGCTGTAAGTAAACCCATTGTATTGTTACTTGGAGTTCCAGGATTTTGACCTAGTGACACTGAAAGAAGAGTGATGCATTTCTAAGAAATGATGACTTGTAGGTGGTGGTATTTCCATGTATCTGCTGTGCTTGTCCTTCTAAATATTCGTGGCTATGGATTTGAAAGGTGCTGTCTAAGGAGCCCTGGTGAATTTCTGCAGTACATCTTGTAGATGGCACATAACTGCTACTGCTGAGTGTCGGTGTTGGAGGGGATGAATGTTTGAGGATGTGGTGCCAGTCAAGCAGGCTGCTTTGTTCTGGATAGTGTCAAGCTTCTTGCGTGATGTTGGAATAGTCTATAATACTCAGGACTTGTGCCTTTTTGATGAGTTACTCGCCGCTGTATTCCTAGTATCTGATCTGCCCTTGTATCTACTATTTATAAGTCTAGGCAAGTTCAATTTCTGGTCACTGATAAACTTCAGAATGTCAGGATGTTGATGTTTAAATCTCCCCTCAACCTTCTCTGCTTTAAAGAGAATAATTATTGTTTCTGTGGGACACTCCGCATAATTGAAGTCATGTTCTATTTCTGACTTCTCAAGACTGTGTTGATCCCTTCCTTGCTTTCACATTAATTGTGACCAAATGTCCAGTCTTGAGGCTTGAATACGTTGCACAAAATCACCACTTTGCATGAGAAGATCCCTAAAGCTTTGTGCTTTCTGTGCCTCAAAAGGAGGGAGAAGTCAAAGCAGCACAGTTCAACTTGAATTAAACTAAATTGGATGGAAGTGTATATTTTCATTGTTAATTTTGTTTTCACACCACTCCCTTTTATTTACGCCCAGGAGGAAATTTAAAAATATCTCCTTGTAAGTAAGGACAAAGATTCGGATATCTTCTTTAGTGATTTCATTTGCACGTAGCGTTACATTATTTTGTATGCTTCTAAAAAAAATGCATTTTATCTGAGTCTTACAAGAATTACTCTATACAAAGAGAAAAACTTTTAGTTTTATGGTGTATTTAACGAGGTATTAATGGTACTATCCAGTTAAAAGGCAAAGCCAATGGTCATAAAATTATAATAATTGTAAGTCAAAGCATTATCATTTTTAATACTTATTTCATGTATCTTTTTAAAAAAAAGTAGTTGTCTGTACAGCTGTACAACATGTTGGAAACTGATTTGCTTTACTTACTTTTCATAGCCAGCCTTTGAAACATTCCGAACGTTCTTATGTCAGAACAAGGGAGAGTCTGTTGTTATGGTGACTGACCCACCATTTGGCGGCCTAGTGGAGGCTTTGGCCCACAGCTTCAAAAAGATTGTTGGTGAATGGAAGACTTCACGGAATAAAAGTATGGAATCTCAGTACAATGAGTATTTAAATGAATGGAATAGGAATATTTTGTACTTGGGAATATAGAAACATCTAAGCCAGACAGCTCCTCAACCAAGCTCATCATTATTTAATTTGTACAATGAAAGAGGGTATCTTAGTTAGTCCTGATGTTCATCTCAATTCCAATTATGTGCCTTTACTCATCCACATCCCTTGATCACCAAACTTCAAATGTATCTGTCAACCATAGTTCTTGGAAACTCCAAACTGTTGTCACATTGACAGCTTTTTGGGGCAGTATGTTCCAAGATTTCGACTACCTTTACATCAGAAAGTACTTTACTCCTGAATGGTTTAGTCCTAATTTTAATATTTTGTTCCTTTTGTTGTTTATTTCTGCACCAAAATTAATAGGTTCTCCAGATCTATCTAATCAAATGCTTCTATGATTTTGATCACATCTCTCCTCAATCTACTATATTTGAGCAAAAATAAGAACATTTATGGAGTCTGTCTCTAAGACTCAAGTTTTTAGAGCACAGAAGGAGGCCATTCAACCCATTGTTTCCAAGCAGGTCAACAACATCTGACTGCGCTAATTCCATTTTCGCACTCTTGACCCATAGCTCTTGTGGCTATGATAAGGCAGATGAATTTCTAAATACTACTTAAATGTTACTGGAGCTTCTGATTCACCCACCCTTTCAAGCAGACTTTCAGGCTCCCAATATCCTCTGAGTGGGGAAAAAAAAATTCTCTTCGATTCTCCTCTTAGCTTCTATCTATTACTTTAAATCTATGCCTTCTGGTATTGACCTGTATCCTTATGGAAGTGCCTTCCTAACTACCTGTCTGTGCCACTCATAATCTTAAGTACCTCAGCCAACCTTAAGTACCCTCTTAACCTTCACTGCTTTAAGGAAAACAGCCTCATCTTATCCAATCTTTCCCATAGACCCTTGACCCATGCAGCATCCTGGTAAATCTCCTTTGCACAGTCTCTTAGTATAATCATATCCTTCCTATAACGTGGTGACCAAAACTGCACACAGTATTCCAGTTGTATCCTAACCAATGTTTGTTTATACAGTTTTAGTGTTGCCTCCTTGCTCTTGTATTCTTTGCCTCAGCTAATAAAGGCAAGTATCCCATGTGCCCTCTTAACCAACTTTTCTACCTGCCCTTCAGTCAGAGGTGGTGAATCTGTGGAACTCAATACCACAGAAGGTTGTGGAAGCCAAGTCTTCAAGTGTGTTTAAGACAGATATGGGTAGGTTCTTGATTAGCAAGGGGATCAAGGATTACCCGGAGAAGGCAGGAGAATGGGGTTGAGAAACATCAAGTTGGATCGAATGGCCAAGCGGACTTGATGAGCCAAATGGCCTAATTCTGCTCCTATATCGTACAGTCTTGTAATATGATGGCCTTGTGGAAATCCAAGTACATTACATCAGTGGACTCCCCTTTATCCACAGTGCAAAGAATTTCAAAAAATTGCTTTGGTTTAATTTAGTTTATGTCTACAGTTATTGAAGAGGTAATATTTGTCCCACTTTCTTGTTCTTTCTCCACAGCCCTGCAACTTTGTCCTTTTCAAGTGTTTATGCAGTTATCTTTTTGAATTTTTCTTTTGAATCTGCTTCTTTCATCCTTGCAAGCAATGAATTACAGACTTACTAACTTGCTGAGTTTAAAAAAAAATCTCAACTTCTGTTTGGCCCATTTCCCTTTGAAAGAAAAATTTTAACTTCTCAGCCTTTATCAAATCACAACAGTCTTCATAATTGGGCTTAGAAGATTAAATTACAAGGAACCCAAGGCTATTACAGCTTAGTATCACACCCTGCGCACATTTACTGAAAGAATGTGGAGTAGTTACTATAATTTGTGTTGATCTTTGTTTATTTGAAATCTACGCCATCAGTAAATATTTGTAAAATGGTATTGACTAGTAAATAAAATAGACTGAATTAGCAAATGTCAGCTGTAAAGAAAGCAAGAATAATGGGCAGTGATGTAGATAAAGGACTATTTCTCATTTGACATTCATTCTGAGCAGCCTGGCACTTCAGTATCTTCCAATTTTGTTTTCATTTAGTTGAAGATGAGGAGTTGCCAATATTTTGGATTTTTCCATACTTTTTTGAACCTCGTATTCGGCAGTATTTCCCAACGTTGAACATGTTGGATTACCAGGTGAGGAGCTTTGCTGCATGTTCAATATTCTCACTATTTGTAAACTGAGATCAGTGAAAAATTGCCGCACAACTTAATCTGCAACTAGGATAGTTTTGATGGTCTCTGGGCACGCAACATTTATAATATGTTAAAGAAGTGCAAACAACCCTTGTACAGTCTTGCATTTTTAAGTGAGGCTGTGTACAGAATTACTCACTTAGACGCTGAGTTCTTTTAGCAACACAAGTGTTGAGTTTGTTCACATTGTATTCGTACTTGATATCACTTTACCTCTGGCTGGTGAAGCGATGCACCGTACAGTTTGCCTGTGGGTAGACAAATATCAGAAGGGTCCTGTGCCAGAAGAGGCCTGACAAGGAAAATAATACTGTATGTGCACCTCAAGGACCAAATATACTACTCTGGGCCCGCCAGGAAATCTTGCCCCTCTCACGATAAGCTTCTCTTTCCCTCCCTCTCCCAAGTGATGCCTGTCTACCTTTAAATGTGAGTGCTTACCTCCAGGCCCAGGAGATTTCCCATGGAAACCCCCGCAACTTCTGCCTTCTGCCAAATCCTGCTCTCTAGTTTGGGATTAACAGGCTGGAAAATTTTTAATCAGGTCAAGTAATGGTATAATGAGGTTAAAATGGCTTCTACATCAGACTGATAAGGCTGTAGGCGTTTATTGCTTCGTGGACAAGTCCTGTAACAGATTTGAACCGTATTGCAGAATTGCTTGACACTCTTGGGCTCGGAAGTTAATGTTTCAATTTCCATTTCAGCTGTTGTTTTACCCTTTGCAAGTAAAATTCCTTATTGTTGTTGAATTAGGAACAGTTTTGAGCTGGGTTTTCTCAGGCGGTTTAATATTGTGGATATAGACTTTTATGCTAAGAGTCTGTTCTCTGCTGTCTCCTCTGTTGGAGACCCTGCCCTCCATTGCTTTTGATCATTCTTCATTTCTTCATATGTGGAACTTAAGGCTGTGGAACTACTACAACCCTCATAGCTTGGGTTTGGCAATTTAACACATTTCCTTTTAAGGTGTGTGGAAGAACCAGAATTTCTTCATAGCCTTTGTCAATTTAATAAAATATTTAGTGTTTGCCCTGGGGCATACTTGGCTTGGGATTGCAAGATATATGATATGAGTGCAGCTTT